TAATTGTCGCGGGAATGGACTGTGGGGTAGAGCTTCAGTTGATCGGGGATAGCGGCCGTTTTTCGCTATGGATTGGGGAACTCAACTCCACTGTCAACATCGGACCGCGGGTATTAGACACATGAACGTTTTTCCACGGTGAGAGTCTTGCAAGTCTTGCAAGTTTCATTACACTTGCGCGACCAATTTCTTCTACAAGGTCGATCAACCTTGAGTATTTCAACTACGGTTGGTTCCGGGGTCGCAAGTGTCAGCCTGTGAACCGTTGTACCGCCTAGAGATCTCGGGTATCGGCTGATACAGCCCCCAGCCCGTCAATCGGCTTCAATTGTCACCAGTAAATTACAATGTTTAGTCGCACGATTGCCCGTGCCACCCACGGCACAAGGCCTCTTAGGAATGGTTATAGTTATCAGGCCGACCTAGTGCGGCGTTATTCTGCCGTCAGCAACGATGGATCGCTACCTTTGTCAGGTTACCGTGTTCTAGACATGACCAGGGTTCTTGCCGGTGTACGTAGAGAAGATCTCGTCAACCTCAACCATGTGCACGCTTACTCATTTTAGATATGATGTAGCCGTATTGTACACAGATTCTTGGCGATCTTGGGTATTTGACACATCACCTTTTAGACGTAGGAGCTAGTTAAAGCTAATATGGTATGCAAGGGCAGAAGTCATCAAAATTGAGCATCCCACGCGCGGGGATGATACGCGCGCTTGGGGACCGCCCTACGCAACGTATCGCAACGGATCTAACTTAGAAGGACCGGGCGAGTCTGCTTACTTCCTAGCTGTAATGGCACTTTTATGAAATACTGTCTGCATTATTAATACTGATTTTGCTAGGTTAATCGCAACAAGAAGTCTTTGGGCCTGTCATTTCAACATGCCGAAGGCGTGGATATCCTGCATAAGCTAGCAGCAAAATGTGATATTCTCGTTGAGAATTATCTTCCCGGTACTCTCAAGAAGTATGGAATGGACTTTGAGACACTGCATAAGATCAATCCGGGTCTCATTTATGCATCAATAACGGGGTATGGCCAGACAGGGCCGTACTCGCAGCGAGCCGGGTACGACGTCATGGTCGAGGCTGAGTTCGGGTTGATGCATATCACCGGTAACCGAGACGGACCTCCGGTAAAAGTCGGTGTCGCCGTCACGGACTTGACCACAGGGCTCTACACAAGCAACAGCATCATGGCTGCTCTTCTATCTCGAGCGAAGACCGGTCGTGGTCAACACATCGATGTCGCATTGAGCGATTGCCAGACTGCTACCCTTGCCAACATTGCGAGCAGCTGTCTTATTAGTGGGAAGAAGGACTCCGGGCGATGGGGCACGGCTCATCGTGAGTCTAAAAAGACATCCCTCTCGCGGCTTTCGCTGACAATCTCGTAGCATCGATAGTCCCGTACAAATCATTCAAGACCAAAGATGGCGACATCCTATTTGGTGGCGGCAACGACCGTTTGTTCGGAATTCTATGCGATGGTCTCAACCAGCCAGAATGGACGACAGATCCGAAATACAGCATAAATTCGCAGCGCGTGGCCAACCGCGTCGAACTTGAGGCCAAGATTGAGGAGATCAGTGTCCAGAAGACGACGCAGGAGTGGTTAGACATTTTCGAGGGCAAAGGCATGCCGTACGCCGCCGTCAACGACGTTCAAGGGGCCCTAAACCACGAACACACCAAGGCGCGGAACATGGTGGTCGAGTTGGAACACGAGCAGTGTGGACCAATTAGATTGGTCAACACGCCGGTGAAGTACAGCGAGAGCAACCCCCGAGTTCGCACCGCGCCGCCTACGCTAGGCCAACACACGGATGAGATATTGACTGATATTCTGGGTCTAGAGGCCAATGAGGTGGTGTCGCTAAAAGAGAATGGGGCTGTCAGGTAGAGTACGTGGGTGTTAGAGCACATTAGAAGACGAGCCCTTGTAAATAGCAGTTTGGGATGATGTACCGACTTAGGTACGTAAATGAAGCCAAACTCCAACCAGCTCAAGCGCCTTTACTACTCTCATCGCAAGTTACAAAAGCCGCTTAAAGTTCGATACGAGATAAACAGATATTTGAGATAGATTCATGGGTGTGCTTTATCTCTAATAAGGGACAAGAGCCTGGAATGTAGTACATACATAAGTTGCGAGAAGGCCAAAGTAAGATTAGATTGAAACATCTGACAGTGTCTTGAGCTTTGGGCAAGCTTCAATTTTCCCAGGAGGGAGCTTCCCGGGATCAATTTCCGGATCATGTCATCACGTGAATATCACGTGCTAACCTCCACCTAGAATTTCAACCTTTCATCTTTAATTCGCAAACTGACATCCTTCTAATAAAACATTGAGGAGTTGATTATAGGTCTACTAGCCGAGCTCTTTTCATTGAAATTAATCCCGGGCACCTTGGACGCGCTTGCGTGATGAGTGTTCGTTGTGAATTTCACTCTCCTCAAACACCACTGACAACAACCATCCCTCCGCAACTGGTGTTTTTGCGACAGTAATAATATCATACTCTTTTTCGCCTATGTTTCATAATATAAAATAGATAATACATCGGTGTATCATGGAAACCGATAAGGACAAAGAGGGCGATGCTTTCGCCGCGTCGGCGGCAGCTGCCGCTGCTACTGCAACACCTTCATCGCAGTCGGCTGCTCAACTCCCCACCCCGACAAACCCCCGGGTATCAAGCCCTGCACCTAGTACCACGAGCTCTACAGGCCGTCCGCCTTACATGCCCCAATTCTCAGCAGCCACCCAGATGATTCTAAAGCGACTTAACTCTAAGCCAGGAAGTCTCTCATCTGCACTTTCATCTGCATCCTCAGTTACCAACAAGACCAGCATCGAGAAGTCGGCTTTCGATGACGCTAAGAGACGCCTCGTTATGACTATGAATACTTCTCTCACAATGCCAATGCCAGCGCCAATGGTGAAGGCAACCCCTCCATCCAAGACACTGAAGCCTTCTACTTCTGCTACCTTACACATGCCCATGAACGACGCGTTCAACCTCCGAATGCCGGCCCCGGCCCCGGCCCCGGGATCAGTCAAGCCCCAACCAATGGCCAAACAGCCAACTCAGAAAGCACCAGCGCCGAAGGCTAAGGGCAAGAGACAGCGAGGTACGAAGCGTAAGAGAGGCAAGAACGACGACGAGGACACATCCTCGAGCCTAAGTGATCTATCCGACGAAGAAGGCATCACCGTCGCTACCACTGCTTCTGCCAAGGAGACCCAGGCCGTACACACTATGACTAAGTCCGGCCGCCAGGTGCAGAAGCCGTCGCAGTACAACCCCTCGCAGCAAACAGCCGCGCAGAAGCGCAAGAACTACGGCAAGCGAACGCCGGAGCAAGCGCTATGCAAGGTGTGCACGCGCGGCCTTAGTCCGGCCAAGAATCAGATCGTGTTCTGCGACGGCTGCAATTGCTGCTGGCACCAGCTGTGCCACGAACCGTACATCGACGACGACTTCGTTAGCAACCAGTCGCGTTCCTGGTTCTGCCGCGGCTGCGTGGCCAAGCGCGAGAAGCACCTCGCCAAGAAGATCAAGCTGGACACGCATAAGGGCGTCAGCTGGTCTGCAAAGAGCACCGAGCAGGTGAGTTTGACTATTTCATCTACCTACAGTATTGCTCCTATATAACGTGATTTCTAACAACCTCCTAGAAGCGCTCGTACCTAGCCGGCGTTCCCCATGCACAGCTTGTGAACATGATCATCTATAGCACGGAGTTGCATCCCGATCTGCCGATCTTTCCCGCGCAGGAGCCGAAACGCGGCGGTACTCAAGGGGGCCGCCCGTCCAATGGCAGCCCGCGCGTCAAGGTAGACGGCGGTAACATTAATGTCGGCCCTACACAGTACTCCAGCAAGGTATCTACTCCGGACTCACACTCTCTTGGAGGAAGTGGTGGCAAGAGCAATGCGAAATCGGCTGCCGCGGATCAGGCAGAACGAGAGGATTCGGAAGATTCCGTGCCTCCTGCTTGGCCGAAGGTCGGACAAGGTGTTCTAACCGGTCTGGAGATAGACGAGGATGACTTGCGGGACGAGAACGATTACGAAGCCTTCAGCGTCATGACCTACGATAACAAGGGCAAGAAGATCCTGGAGAACGGCATGTCGGTCTAGGAGAGTTAAGCGTCGATGGTGGAGGACGGAGGATAGGTCCGGACGGAGTTGTTAATAGGGGACCGAGAGACCAAGAGTCTTAATTGTCGACCATTTGCATATGAGGAACGCAGAGAGTACGCCTGTCTTGCTTTTAGCATATGCGGGACTATTTGCTGGCAACTTTACATACCTTGCTTACCCTGTGGAAGCGAATGTGTAGATGCAAATTCGCGCCAGGGATGTACATAGTTCTACCACAGAAAAGTGGAGAAGCCATGAGAGCTTCTAATGGTCGTTGGTACCGGGACGGCGGCACATTTGCCATGACAGGTCGACGTAAAGCTGCCTAGTAATACCAATTCAAAATTAATGAAGATGATTCATTCCGAATACATAAATAGGAATGCTAAAAATGTCAGGAGTGTTAAATTGTAGGAAATCGATGTCTCCTGGTATGTGATGATCATACGCACAGCACTTGTCATTGTAGGTCGTGGTGAAACATAGCATACGCACTACGCTATGCTGATAATCGTCAGATGACGTTAGGTATAATTGCATTAATTCAATTGATCCTGAGTCAATTCTTTATTTGCTATTGCAAAAGTGTTGTATTGTTGTCATTACCACCTAGTCAAGCAGATAAAGGGGGTAGCGTAAAGGGGGTTAAGGGGTTAGGGGTGGGGGAGGGGTAAGGGGCTGGTCGGCTTCCCATATCAATACCTTAAGTTAGACGAAGGGGAGATCTCGTACTTAATAAGAAAATCCAGTTGTTGATGGTGCTGGCTGCAGGGAGAAAATAAATAAATAAAAATAAAAATGATGGTTTATTGCGATAAATAAACACAAAATGAAACGAAAAAAACGACCACCACGGGACTCGAACCCGGAATCTTCACCATATTCCTTTGACCGGAAAGTGACGCGATACCATTTCGCCAGGCAGCCCAATCCACAATCGCTTGGGAGGGTGGGTTATCCATGTTAACTCCGATTAAATTTTAGCCTATATACTGTCTCACCCCGCTACGTCCGGCCGTTTTTGGTGAACCCGCTAACCCCTAATCTCCAATCAAAGACAAGCACCCCCTTTTATGAGAAACCATCACACCACAGACATGCTGTAAATCAGCATTTTTAAAAATAAAAACATAGAAATTTTAGAATATCGCATATTCATAAGAGTTTTGTTCGGTTGCTGTCTAGAATGAACTACTTATCTTCAAACGCGCAATACTTTGTTATAAACCGCCGCACTAGCTGGGTGATACATTCACTCTCCGTACTAATTAACGGTAAAACTCTTTATCATTCACTACCTAGGGTTGTTTTTATACAATGCGAGTTTTGATAGTTGATGTATAGTATCGTGTTGTATATACAATGGACAGCATAGTTCTAGGCGGCACCTTCATAAAAATGCAATATGTCAACCTAGAGCATATCCTAGTATATAGCTATATTATGAGGCATCTATTCGGTTTTATTCCTAGACTGTCAGGCTTTCGGATTGGGATAAAGAGGGTTGAAGATTAGACCTTTCAAGAATCCAGGTGAAGTAGTCTCCATCGCTTTCGGTGGCACCCTGACAACATGTCTTTTAGAGATTGCTTCGTCTATGAAACATGAGTGTGTTCCTAAAGGTGCAAGCTTTCTAAAACTCTAGAGAGCTGCTTGATGAACGGAATTTAGGCTGCAAATCAACATATAAGAACCAATTCGGACGCGCATATGTCCGAATTCAGCTATTCTAGACACACATCCTCCATTTACTTAATTTCTTATAACCTATCCACCTACTGAGACGCAAAACATAATACGAGACGGCATGGTATCATGGCACCTTTCCCTTTCAATCGCCTCCCCGCCGAGCTGCGGCTTCTCATTTGGGATGAAGTATTGCTCGAAGAATCTTTCAATCGTATAGTACTGGTCATCTTTCCATCCAAAAGAATCGTCCCCTTTAAGCACCTCGCATCGCCGATGTTGTCAGTAAACAGAGAGGGTCGAGCCTGCGCTATAAAGTTCTATGACGTGAAGTTGACCGTTTCACACTTTCCAGCCCACTTCACCGGTGTTGGAGAATTTGGACGGGTTAGCGAAATGCTGGATGCGGACAAAGGGACAGTCATGGGCTGCGGAAGCCTCTATGTTAGCCTACAGTACGACATAGTTCTCTCGGATTTTAACTTAAAAGACCATCGAGATCCATTTGAGGTCTATCGTCATCTTCGTTGTATCTATGATAGCCAGCCTCATCGCAGCCGGACTGATCTTAGCCGGACTCATCTAAACTGGAATGATAACTCCCTAGGATGCTTTACGTCGGAGATTTCGCATATATGGATGCGTAGGGAAGGAGTCTTTTTGATTCGCTGCTGCATCTGCAGCAACCCTAGCTACTTATGTGCCTGCCCAAGGGGCGAAGGGTAAGATTTTCAGAAAAATTAGCAGAACTCATGTTGAATAAGGATCGGCTCCTTAGCATTCAACAATACTTGTATTATCCACAATGCTATAACTTCCTACAGCCATTTTGCGGTATTGAGCACCTAGGGGAGTGCCTGTTGGCGCATTTCTTCAGTCGTAAGCCCGGTCACCCATTAGATCCTCAATATAGTATGATGGAATTATTCTGGAGAGATGAAGAGGATGATGATCATGACCTATGGTTCTGGCAACAAGAGGGAAAGAAGAGGAGGGCGCTGGTTGATTCACTTCATCATTGCAGACTATCCTCTTACAGGTGCAATAGAAAGACATAAAGGATATTGAGAAGAGGAAGAGGATGTGGCTTAGTAGATTTGCGAACACTATGAAATTCATTTCACAATCCCTTCTAAGAATGGTCTTGCACTTAAGTATATAACATCTACAGAACCATCCTCCCCTCGCCTGCCGTGTCTTTAGCCAATAAGAGCTTTGCTACTGTAGCAATTCATTCTCTGTATGGATATATGGATTATTTTCCTGTTACATCAGGGTGTATTCCTGTTTCTGTCTGCAACTCTGGCATGTATCTATGGATGGGGTGGTTGGAGTGAAGAGTAATGAGACTTAATGAATAGAGCTTTATCACCTAAACTTTTGGAGACTTCCATAACGCACTTCGCGACACCAACTAAGACTTCAAGAGTGTTTTCAGGTCCAATTTCAGCTACCTGTATGCATACGGCATCTAGGACGTAAGCGACTTGTACGAGTCTCATAACATACTATAATAGCCATCAATCTCCTCTTCTCCTGGACCGGCTATATCGTCGCCTATCGCCTTAAAGGCTAGTGGGTACTTTTGTACCGGGATCGTAGCTTGCTTCAAAGCCAACATATTGCTCCAGGTTTTTTCTCCATAAGGCATACGAATCAGACTTGCATCTCTTCCATTAGCTTCGGTGATACCCGTATCGAGGTGCTGAGTAAGTGCAGACGCGGCGAAGCTGGATGGCAGGATACTCGTTTCGGAAAAGCCGACAACGGTGACGAGATCGTTTTTGCCTATCAGGAAGTTTTCGTGTCGGAACTTGCAGTAGCAAAATATCATAGGCTCGTCGCGAAAGTCAACTCGTTCCTCTCTACGCATTTTTTCTAGTGCCTAAAAAACAAATACCCAGTTAGCCATGTTATCGGACGAGTAGCTCGAATACAAGTCAGCGGTTTGTGTAGTACCTTGTTGATATGCTGCTGTAGTTGTGCAACACTGCTGTATGCCCGAGGCGCCATGCAGTCCTGGTACCTAGAAAAGAATGGGTTGACAATGTTTGTACCATCAATATTCGCTGGCTGCGGGTGGTTTGGAATAGGGATGCGGTAGATATCCGTGAGCGCTCTAGCAACCTGGTACCAAATTCGATCTCTTTCGGCTTCGGTCGTTGCACGTTCTGCCAACGCGAGAGCGTTAGGATCCGGGACGTATTGCATCACGATATAGGTCCACTTGTGAGAGATTTCGTACGCATAGTAAATTGCAGGGACCCAGACGGACGAACCTAACTCTCGAAGCTTCGTGTAAGCCGTCATTTGGGCTGCAACTCCATGCCAGGCCGCTGGGCTGCACTTATGCTTGATCCAAATCGTAGGTGCACCTGGGGGGTAAGCCAGGCCTTTTGGATAAGGGACGCCAGTAACCGGTCCAGAGGGATTGCCGTTGCAAATTTGAACAAGCTCATGCAGTGAAGGAAGTACGACGCCTGGCGGAGGCTGAAACCCTGCAATCACATTTGTAATGTCGAGTTTCTGTGGCGCCTCCATGATGGTTATTTTAGAAATGACGGGCGGATGAAGAGGATAAATATTTGGGTTGAATATTGGCTTCACGGGTAAAGATGACAAGGGTATGGATTAGACCATAAAACCCGCCATCTGAGGGATGGTAAGTTGAAAGGTAAAAGTTGCTGATACTTTTAGCAGTAATACTTTGGTATCTTCTGGAATTCAAATAGTATCCGCCAGCTGTTGCCCTATGTTTTTTGGTAGCGCGAGAGAGCGACGAGGGGAGCTAATCATACTACCTCATAATATTATTACTTGGCACATAATGTATTGTGATAACTATTTGTGTTGGCTGGACTACCGAACACCTTTCTCGAGATAATAAACATTTGGCAGCTGTTTGGAACATTGAGAGGAAACGCCTACACAAGATGGCCAGAGTAACTATCGTATCAAACTGGAAAAAGGTAGTGTGATAGTCTTTGCTGTCGATATGTTTAACGTTGATAGAGTCTACATAAGTCCTTTGGTGTATACTAGCGGCTGTCATAATATAGGGTTACAAGAAGCATTCGGGAATTGTTAAGAGCCATATGCTTGACCATGTTGCTGTCATGGACTTACCAGCACCGATTTACATAAGATGGTGACATGTTTCGTTACCAACAGTCGTGCCGGGTGTGGAATGTAAGTGGCATAGTTAGCCCAACGTATCTACTGTCACTAAATCGATACTTGGACTGAATCTATGTATATAAGGCTTCGTCAATAATGTCTTTCTGAGTGACCCTCTATTACCTTACGTAACATATTTTCATAGAGCCTTAGAGTAACAAGCGGAATACGTTAAATGGGACCTTGTTCATAATCTACAACAATGTTTAATTATAAGACATTTTGAACAATGCATATATTCCCAATATCCTTAAAGCATATTCAGTGTCATTTTAAAGATGAGTATGGATAAACACGGCCGTGGTGTTCCTAGGATAAAGACCAGTGAGTTGAGTATATTGGTTAGTTATACCACGCAGATAGAGGTAACTATTCGAATCTCGTACAACTGGTATTTGGACTCAAATTGAAGAGCAATGTCTTCTAAACCCATTTGAGATGTGCTATGTACTACAGTGATAACAGATTGATGCATGCACTAGCAACTTTACCCTCATTCTGTTAACCGTAAAAGCAATGTTAAGTCTTTCAATTAGGTACCTTTGAATCTGCCTGATAATAAAACGTTATCTGTTATCTAATGCGCGTCTACTATGACTTATTCAATAAGTTAAGTATTCGCATAATCTCTAATGGAAGATGAACTAAATATCTCGATGCGGACGGCTTATGTTCTCAAGGTACCTGTAGGCAGTGATTGAAACCACATGCAGCGCGGAAACTGGGGAGGACGGCCCGAGGCGATGGATCGTACCTAATTTTCTGTATGTATTGACTAGGATTAAATGTCACGGTGATCGTTCAGCGTGTCATCAAGAGGCTTTCCGTGACACCAACAGCGACGGACAAGAGGAATATTTAATGTTTGATGTGGAACCACTTAAATTTACATTCATGATCGCTTACTAAATTTAGCACACTTTACGTCAGATTTTGGTTTAAAGATCAGATCAGCACTACCAACATGAAATATACTTGTTAACCTTCTAAAACTTCCAGACTGCTAAAGCTGTAACTAAATCTGTAACCAGATGAATGAGAATAGGTAGGTTTCGTTTAGATGT